CACACACCGCCTTTCAACGTGCATACACACACGTACATACAACTGATGCAGAAGTGATGACAACTCAATTTATCACTGTTTAGAATAATTGTGTGTGTGTGTGTGTGTGTGTGTGTGTGCCTTGGTGCACACTTATTCAAGTAAACTACTCTACTCCTGTCGTCCTCTTGCTCTTTTGCACACACACACACACACACAGACACACACACACAAAGGCCAATTAAGAAGACTGATGTAGCCACAAATCCAATTATAGTTGAACGTACAATTAACAAAGAGTAAATTAAAGGAAGGAGAGAAGGAGGAACACAGAGAAAAAAAGACTGAGGGATGAATTAATGACTGAAGTAGGAAAGAGGAGAGCAGAGAGGAAAGGACTTACGGAAGGAAAGATTGACAAAACAGTGGCGGAATGAAGGGAGAAAGGAACTAAAGAAAGAAAGAGAGAAGGAAAGTGAGGAAGCAGTTGTGAATTGGGGATGAAATGTGAGGAGAGAAGGACACTGAGCCACAGTGTCTTAAAGAAGTTAAAATGTCAGAGCATCGCTCCGAGGAGCTGGAGGCCGATGAGGGAGGAAGTGACAGAGGAAGTGAGGGATGAGGCAGATAACAGATGAAAGGATGGATGAAGAGGAGGAGGACAGGAGCTCTCCAGATACAGGGTTGTGACAGACAAACGGAGGAGGTGAGGAATGAGATGTGAGACGGGGAAGAAAGAAGGAAAGAATGGAAGGAAGGACAGATGGACAAAGGGGGTAAGGAAGAAAGGATTAAATGAAGGAAAGACAGAATGATGAAGAGTGAGAGGAAGAACGACAAAAAAGGAAGCACGGAAAGGAAGACCGAAGAAAGGAAATGATGGGACGGGGAAGTAAAGACATAAAACATGGGGGTGAAGGTTAACAAAGCCTGGATCAGAGACCAAAGAGAAATCTGAAAAAAATGAAGGACAGAATTCCTGATGTTCCCTCAGGATTGGAGCAGGATCAACTCCTTTCTCCAACACCAAAATACTGCAGCTTCTATATTTAGATCATTACATAACAGAACAGATGACATCATCATCATCATCATTATGGATGATGAGGATGAGGAGTTTAATCTGACAGATTTTTGTTCTTGTTGAAAAAAGAATAGTCAGGATTTAAATTGAGGACAAACTTTATGAACTGACAGGAAAAAGACAGGAATCTTGATTTGAACCACCACAAGCAAAGACAGGAATCTTGATTTGAACCACCGCTAACAGGCTAAAAATAATCTGGTTCACATTGTCTTAGATCTTCAGCAGTTTGAGGAAACAGCCAATGGTTTACTTTCCTTATTTTACTTTAATCAGTGATTTTAGCTCAGGAACACATTGGAGTTGCTGGTTCAGTGCTGTCTCCCGTGGTCTGTTAATGTTACTAGCTAAAGAATTTCATATAGTGAGGTCACTGAGTATGAACTTCTGAATGGAGCAATAGCAATAGACCAATAAATGAGCTGAAACCACTGGTGTTTGGTGGAGGGGTTTGGGGTTTTAGGATTCTGTGTGCTTCATGCAGGAGTGTTTTCAAACCAGCCACAGTTGTTACCTTACACACCAAAGTCCATAGAGGACATGAGTGATGCTCAAAGTGACAGAGAACGTATTGATTCACTATGGAGGGCTATTTCATCACTTTGGTTTTCATAGTTCTTTATTCACAGTTACGCTGACCCCAAAACTGAACACTGGAGGCAGCAGATGACCAGCAGGGTCTCTGGGAACTTAAACTGCTGATTTTCTCTATGGACTTTGGTGTAGGAGAGTGGGTGGATGACAACCTTAGACAGCATTTATGATCTGTCTCTCCTCATGTCCTTGTCCTCGTCTGGCTCCTTCAAAGAGCAGTCAGCTGTCTGTAAAATGCTAATACATGTCACTACCTCATAAAAGTGGTCTAAAAAAAACCCCATCTCTGATCTCCAGGAGTCAGATGAATTTAATTTTTATCCATGTCCATCCTTCATTTCCTGTCCGCCTCTCTCCTCCAGCCTGCTGACTCTTAAACTGCCCATATCGCTGCCCCCCCCCACCCCCTCCCCACCCTGCCTGCTGTAAATGCTGCTGCCTCCCCTCCTTCTTATCTCTCCTCCTCAGAACCTCTCCTACAGCCTCCTTCTTTTACCCACCACTGCATTTTTCTGTACTTTCTTCTGTACTTTCTTTCAACCAGCACCTCATCAGAATTCTCAGCACACTCCCGTCCTTTCGTCTCAGTGTGTTCCCGTCTCGTTCTACTTCTGGATCAGAGCTGAAACCGGACGCAGGTTTTAAGCAGTTGGACGAGTTTCCCCGAGCCCGGTGCTCAATCAATCAACCAACCAACTGAGTCCGCCTGTAACAACCGTAGATCAGATTTGTGAATCAGTTCATTTGACGTAGACAGTAAAAGTCTGAGCCTCATTTTACCCTTGAATTCTGAGGTCAATGTCTTCAAGGTTTTCCAGGCCAAGGACCCCAAACTGTTATAGAGACGGAGCAGGGCCCCTTAGTAAACAGTCTTCAACATTAACCTGAGTCTAGACCTGGTGTGGGCAAACTTTTTGACTCATGAGCCACAATTGTCCTATAACTGAACAGGGGGGGGGGGGGTCAGGAGCAGAGAGATGGAGCGTTGGTGTGAACTAAGAGAAATGACCTGTAAAAGTCACACATAAAGGCTAAAATGCTGAAATGCATTTAGTCTTCTCTACACCATCTATTGGGGAAACGCAGGCATTGCAGGGAAAGGGCAGAAGTATAAGGCTAATATAAATTAATAACAGAATTTGGACAAGTTTGGTGGGCCGGATTAAAAGGCCAAACGGGCCACATCAGGACCCCAGGGCCGTAGTTTGCCCGATGCCTGGTCTAGTGTCAATACCTTTACACAATATACAGTCCCAACCTCTGGTCTAAGTGACACCAGAGGAGACATCCCCCTTGTGGTTATTCAAATAAAAGTTGTTAAATATAGAGTAAAAAACACCAGGAAACGTCTATAGGGTTCTAAGCTTGTAAACCACTCACTCTCCCACACCAAAGTCCAGAGAGAAAACCAGTGATTCAAGCTCACAGGAACACAGCAGCTGTTGATTCACTGCTGCCCTGTTTCACATGTTCAAATGTGTTATTATTGGCTTTACTGTTCAGAATCCACGACCACAGGTGGCAGCAGAGGACCAACAGCTGTGAGCTAAAAACAATGATTTTCTCGGCTGACTTCGACATGGAAGATGGAGTGGATTGCTTCAGCTGAGAAGATTGAGAAGAATGGTGTGTCGACAGACAATATTGTTTCAGTCCCTGACACCTAACTCCAAGAATGCACTTGTATCTTTTTTCATCTATAGGCAATTTAAAGAGTACTGCTAAATCTAGTTAAAATGTCACACTTTTTTGAGGCAACAGTGAATCTAACACTCGTTTCGTGTGTTCTTTTAAATCACTTCTTTTTCTCTGTGCACTGTGGTGTGGTCGTGTGAGTGGCCTTTTATAGTGCAGTGTCCTGTTAACTTTGAGATAAAACAGTCAACATGGTCTTCAGATGCTGCCGCTGCTGGGTCTTTGTTTAAACACCGTCTTCAGTTCTGTCAGCTGCACGTTCTAAATCAGAGCCAGGTGGTTGTTGGCTCAGGAGTCGTGCGTACGGTGTCAAAAATGTGTCAGGGCTTCATGCAGCTGAACTTTCCCTTTAAGGTAAAAAAAAAGGTAAAAGAGAAAAAAAAGAGAGAAGTGAAAGAAGGCAGGGATGGATGGAGCGAGTGAGGAGCCAAGCGTATCTGCAGTGCTGTAACCACACTTAGTGGAGTGGTGTAAAGTCGTCAGCACAAATTCAGCCCTTACTGTGCAGATCTTCAGTACATCTGCATTCCAGCGACACACTGCGGGATTGATCTCATCTCATCTCATCTGTGTGATTTAGGTGTCATCAGTGTAAAACGCAGCAGTGAGCAGATCTTTAACAAAAACCCAGTATGTAGTGAGTCACTGTTGGGAGATCAGACACAGATTCACACACTCTCCTCCAACCAGAGTCCTGCCTTCAACCTGATGCAGAGTGCAGCAGGTTGACTCCACTCTCAGCTGCAGGATTTTTCCCTCCCTCAGCATCACTTTGTTTTTCCTTGATCTTGACTAAACGAGTGTTTGTGTGCTGCGCAGTCAGCAGGTTTGAGTGTGTGTGAGTGTGTGTGTGTGTGTGTGTGTGTGAGCTGCCTCTGCATTCACAAAGGAAATCCACACAAACTTTTCCTGAAAAACTCTGAGAAGTTTACATTGAGCTGACATTAAAGGGCTTTACTGCTGAAGCAGCAAACCATATACCCATAGACCTGAGGCCTTTAGCAGCTACCCCAAGTGGTCCATAAAGGTACTGCAAGGAGAATGTTTTTCTTAGTCAGACAGTCTTTTTGGACCCAGGAAATTGTTTTCCCCAATGTTTTCTCATTCATTAAAAAAACTGTTTTTGAATATTAATATTTATTTTAATATAAATTTTATAATAATAATTTATATATTTAAATATATTAAAGTATGTGTATTAAAGTGTCTTTAAGTGACCCCAGTGGGTCATAAAGGAAAAAGTAAAGGAAAGTGAACTCCTTGTCAGTGTGACACAGCTCACCACTGCACACAACCAAATGTGACCTCTGTTTTTAACCCATCACCAAAGTGAACAGTGGCAGCTTTAAGAACCAGGGAGCAGTGAGTGGAGACGGAGCCATGACAGAGCACCTCAGTGGGAACTTGGCAGATGGTGGACTAGAACCTGAAACCTTCTGGACCCAAGTTCACTTCCTCAACCACTGAGCCACCACTGCCCCCATTAACATTACCATTAACCTGTTCTGTTAACATGTAACACTGGTTATCACCGAGATCACTATTAACTTCTGGATTCCACTTCCTGTTTCAGTCTGAATCCAAACTTGGTCTCTTTCCTTACCTCAGGTTAGTCTGAATCAAAACTTGGTCTCTTTCCTTACCTCAGGTTTTCCAGATGAATCCGATGACACAGCTGTACTATAAGAAGGTAAGTCTCACAAACATACACACAAACACACCATCAGTCCATCAGTGATGACGTTAGTGACAGGCGTGTGACCCTCTGCAGGTCACCTTTACAGTGACCTCACTGATCTATGTCATGTTTTCACGAGGAGCTTTGAATGGTGACATGATGAAATATGAAGCTCACTTTCACTCCGTGTCTCAACAACCATGGAGTTTTACCCAATGAGAAGCCTTTAACCTGCAGTAGGCGGGACACAGAACATTCCCACGCTTCTTACTACATTTTGATACTGTGTAAATCAATGATCTGTAAGATGATCAAACGATTTCAAATGTGAATAATATCTAAGTCTGCAGTTTAGTTCAATTATTCTGGTATTTACTTTCACCTTCACTCAGATACCTGTAGGGGGAGCTAAATGCACGTCTGAAGCTTCTGTCACTCACATACACTGATGCCCTGTTTTCATATGGTGTAAACCTGCTCCTGTACACTGGGTCGGAACACATTAAGGACACTTAGCACAAAGGCTGCTGTAGGTGCCCTAGCATCTCTAATAGTTTGTTAGTGGGGTGTTGTCATGGCCCATTAGGGCCGTAGCGCCACGTTAACGTCACAGTAACATGTTAGTGTTGCAGTAGCAGGTTTGGTAGTTGGGGAATTTATCGACCTGGACAAATGGAATCTCACGCCATAAAAAGATGTAGAAATCAAATACGTTTAAATAGCACATTTATAAAAATCATTTTAGTTAGCTGCACGACTGTAGCTAAAGGAGAGGATGTACCGTCCGCCTCACCCTCAGTGTCGTCTCTGCATGAACAAAGACAGAAGCATCATTTAATATTACCTTGTTGGGCTTGGCCATGTTTTGTGATTATGTTCAACTTGTACTGTTGGAATGCTGGAATAAGTCCGATGTCCCATCTTCCTGGAATGCAGCACATGACTGTAGGAACTAGCTGCTACTTTAACCGCACCTGCAGCTAGCAGAAAAACAAAAAATGTTCAGACGCAGCTGTGTTGATCAAATAGTTTGTGTCTTTGTCTGGCGCTAGGCGACATATTCGCCGTACCGCGATCGAATCCCACTTCAGATCGTACGAGCTGAGGTGGAGCTATCAGCGGAGGAGAGGGCGTACCTCACTGCTGTGGAGAAAGGTACGGACCAGCCGACTTTGACCAACACCACCGTTTTACCTGCAGATCATAATAACTGGTCCCTCCTCGTTCTCCATCTCAGGCGACTATGCAGGCGTCAAACACGCTCTCCGTGAGGCGGAGGTCTACTACAACATGGACGTGAACTGTCTGGACCCACTGGGCCGCAGCGCGCTCCTCATCGCCATCGAGAATGAAAACCTGGAAATCATGGAGCTGCTGTTGGACCACGGCATCCACACGGGTGATGCCCTACTCTACGCCATCAGGAAGGAGGTGGTGGGTGCTGTGGAGCTGCTGCTGTCCCACCGTAGACCGAGTGGAGAGAAACAGGTGAGAGGGTTGACCCACTGACCTGCAGTCTGAGACTAGCTCCTTAAAGTTAACTGACATACGTAGCAATGAGCAGCTGTGAAACAACTGAACAGTTACAGGTAAGACACTCAGATGCTTTTTAGTTTTCCAAAAAAAATATCTTCAACAATTCATCAACTCTGGAATAATAAAGGAAATGATAGCATTAGCTACCATAGCATAGACAGACGCTTACAAATAAAGGAACAGTTAAACGCTAATGTAGTGGCCACAGTAGCATCTATGGTGGCTACGCTAGACTACACAAGGGCTGCCAGCTACAGCTCTAGCTAGCAGCTACAGTAACAGTTACAGAGCTAGCCAAAAGAGAATTAGTCCCATAATAAGAATTTATTTATGAACTATATATATATATATTTAACTAAAATGTTTGAAAAAGTCATGTTAGTGTTCATACCAGAATTTAAGAGCAGATAATATTGTCATTAGAGGTGATATTGGCAGCTAACAGACAAACACAGTTATAATAGTGTTGTGATAGCAACATTAGCTGTTACGTTGGTAGCTAACAAACTGTAGCAGTTGTAACAGTATTTACACAGGTAAGCTAACAGCTGCTGTATCTACACCAATGGCTATGAACCATCACAGTAGCGGGTGTTAGCACTACTTATGCATAATTATTTCTTTAAGTGTGTGTGCGTTTGTCTTTGTCGTAGCACGTGTGTTAATGAACATCCTTTCACGCCACATTCTGCTGTGGAGTAAAATTAAGAAACCCTTTTTTTCTGTAGACGCACTGTGAAATAGGATTCAGATGCAGACACAGCTTCTCTGTGTGTGTTTGTGTGTGTGTGTGTGAGAGAAAGAGAGAAAACATCAACAAGGAGACATGTATTTAAAATAAATTAATAAATATAAAGAGATGATGGTTTAAAATGTTGGACCATGACTGAGACTAACTGAAGTTAGATGCTGTATTACCATGGAAACCAATCCTTGGCTGAAGCATAGCATTGTGGGAAGGAATGTTTTTTTGGTCCGTTCTCAGCTGGACGAGGATGAGAACAAATCTGTTCTTACTCTGCTACTGTCCACTTCACTTTGAAAGATAAAAACAGTGGACTGAACTCAGACTAGAATAAAGGCTCAGTTCCAGGGACACTTTTCAGACTCGGTGCTTGATTTCTGCTGCTTTGACCACAGTGTCCACAGACTTCACTTCAGATTCATCCAGTCTAATCCAGATTCCTGTGTGGTTGTTTTACTCAGGTGCCATCTTTGATGATGGACAGTCAGTTCTCAGAGTTCACCCCTGACATCACTCCCATCATGCTCGCTGCTCACACCAACAACTACGAGATCATCAAGCTGCTCGTACAGCGGAAGGTGAACCAAACCTTAGCCTCACCTTTTTCTTTGTTTTCTTCTATTTCACCAACTGTTCACGACTGCAGTTAGATTCCATCTAAGTTCTAGCTGCTCATCAGTGCTGCTATTCTTTGCTGTACTTTTGCTGAAGTGACATTTTGGTTAGATTTAACCCTTGATAGCCTTTTGCTTAGTCGAGGTTTATCTAGCTTCTTATTGCCTTTAAAGTAAATTATTACTTTTTAAAAAATATTTTTCAGTAGCATTAACAATGTAAAAAATTTTAAAAATATTTTTCAGTAGCATTAACAATCAAGCATATGATTAGCACTTTTTGCTAACCTTTGGCTAATTTTCAATTCTTTTTTACTCTTCTGAGCTGGGTTTTAGTCAGCTGTTGGCCACTTTTTAGCATCTTTCTTTAATTTTTTACTCTCTCACTCTTGTGTGTGAGTGTCTGATACCTAAGAAAAAAGATTAAAGATGTTTTAGTCTCTTGTGCAGTAAGTTGATTTCTTTCAGGTCAAAAATTATTCGTAAAAATGGAGAATTCTTTTTTTGTTACAAAGTCACAGTAAAAACCTTCTTCACATCTGTTATCTGATAAATATTCAGCTGCTAAAATGATGCTGCAGAAAGTCTGTTGTGTATTTCTGTCTTCTATCTTATCAGCCATGACTTATCCTGTCGTTGTTGTTCCCTGTAGGTCACAATCCCCAGACCACACCAGATCCGCTGTGACTGTGTGGAGTGTGTCTCCAGCTCAGAGGTGAGACGTTCACACTCGCGTTACATCTTATTTACACCTGACATTTCAGTCCAGGTGAACACTTGATTGTCTACATCAGTGAAGACATGACGGCTGGCTTTGACCTGGAAAACAACACCACACACACACACAGACACACAGACACGTAGGCCACATGCTGAGATGTGAAACATTTATCCAGGTCAGTCTGACGCTGTAGCTTCTGACGTCTCTGTGGATCTGCTCCTCCCTCCGCAGGTCGACAGCCTTCGACACTCGCGCTCTCGTCTCAACATCTACAAGGCTCTGGCCTCGCCGTCCCTCATCGCGCTCTCCAGTGAAGATCCCATTCTCACTGCGTTCAGACTGGGCTGGGAGCTCAAGGAACTCAGCAAGGTTTGGATGATGACCTCTGTGGCTCAGGTGTCCACACCTGAATGATCAGTGTGGATTCTGTCCTGGGATCATTTAATTTACAAACCACATACAGACGTTTGTAAGAAAACGTTTTAAATCTCAGACACAGTGTTGTCACTCTTGCCTCAGTCAGTACATTAAAATGTGTGAGGTTGTGATTTTGGTGTCTCCAGTCCTTCGTTGACATAAATTCAGTTACTTTTGGGGTTTGTTTTATGTTCTTCCATGACAACCGTCACCTGGACGTTTGGTTTACGTTTTGTGCTAACCTTTAGCTGAATTTTTGATATAGATAGAGATATTTCTGTCAATCCTTTTGTTCTTTTAGTTATGTCTGGGGTCATAGTGGAGATAACCTTCATCTATGTCAGTGATTATTAACTGGTGGATCGTGGGCCAGATCAGACCGTCCAACCTGGCCCACAGCTGGATTCCAAAATCAACATCCAATAATAGTGTTTGACAACATTTTGATTTTGATTTCATTTTGTTTGAGTATCTGCCCCGCAAGGTGTCTGTTCAGAAAAACTGTGGCCCTCCAACAAATATAGCCAGTGACCCCTGACCCTGACCTATGGTTTGGCCAACTTCTAAATATTTTTTGTCCTAACCTTCAGCAAATATAAGGAGTGTCTTTTTGTTTTTTGATATATGCCATGATTATTTTTGCCCATTGCTTGGTTACATTTAAACTCTCTCATTCATCGTTTAATTTTGTGTAGTATTCTCTAGATATCATTCAACCGTGTTGTTTGTTTAAGCAACTTTTATCTATTCTTATTATCATCCTAGAGATGGCAGAGGAACAGAAAATATTTTTAGCTGTGTTTTAGCAGATTGTTTCCTTCCTGCACCGACCTGACTGGTCGTCTTCGTCCCTCAGGTGGAGAATGAGTTCCGTCAGGAGTATGAGGAACTCTCCCAGCAGTGCAAGCGCTTCGCCAAAGACCTGCTGGATCAGGCCCGAAGTTCTCGAGAGCTGGAGACCATCCTGAATCACCGAGACAACGACCAGAGCGAGGAGCTGGACCTCAGACAGTGCCACGACCTGGCCAAGCTCAAACTGGCCATCAAATACCACCAGAAGGAGGTAAGGAGGAGAACATCCAGCTGGATGGATGAAAGGAGGTGGAGGAGAGGATGGAGTGCTGCAGTAAAGCAGGTGGAGGACTGTAGACATGAGCATATAGATGGAGACAGTGAGTGTTTTGGTTTCCTGTGAGTTATTTCAGAGATAAACTGAATTTACAGACAGACCCTGACAATATTAGTCCCACTCTGTAATGGATACTACATTTTCACTCCACAGGAGACAAAATCAAATCTGTACGTTTATTAAAGAGAATAATGATATGTTTTTACTTCAATGATTTAACTGACTTTAATCAGGTGTTTGGGTTTTTCCTGCTCAGAGTTTGTTTTCTTCAAAGTCACCTCTCAGTTCTGACTTTAACAACGGCACGGCCTTTACCAGGGTTTGTATGGACCAGGAAGTGCATTCCAAGCCTTTGAAATTCATCAGCTGACTGATGACTGATGATTAGTGAGACACACATTTCTGACTGATTGATCCAATTCATCCCACACACGCACGGTTAGAGAGGCTGATGCTCCAAACATCATGAGACTGAAAGGAGGTTCTGGACTATTATCTTGATGCTGAACAAACTTTTGCTCTCGGTTGGATGTTGCTTCCAGACTCTTCTCTAGTCTGTGTTCGAGCAGCAGATCCAGAGCTGAGGCCATTTTGTAAAAGACCAAAAGTTTCAATCCGTCCGTCAGCTCTTCACAGTGCAGCTGTGGATCCAGACCTGCTCTCGGTACTTGTCTCTCTTCCTTCCATTATCTGCTCGCTCTGGTTTCCCTCCCTCGCTCTGATTGGTCAGAACAGGATTTTAGAGACCAGTAATGATGTCATGGATGAAAGAGCGAACTGAGAGAGTGACGTTGGAGTGAAAGAAACAGATTAAAAGACAGAGAGGGAGAAGGAGAGAAGGAGTGGGTCGGTGGTTCATTGGAGAAGAGAGAAGAACTGGCTCATTAACATACTGTTGTCATGGCAACAGGATACAGGACTGGAGCTGTGTGAGGGAGAGAGAGTGAGAGCGAAGGGGAGGAAACAGATGAGTGAGGGAAAGAAGCAGAGAAAGAAGAGGAGACAATTTTAGGAAAGGGAACAAGAGAGATGGAGTAAGAGCAAGAGGTGTGGAAGGAAGAAGGATGGATGAAGGATGGATGGATGGATGGAACAGAAGAGAAAATAACAAACTAAGAAACACACCTCCCAAAAGCTAGTGCTCTGTTAGTAGCAAACACATGGTTTTAATCATTGTTGACAACATGCAGCTACAGGGGTCTTGAGGGGTCAGAAAAGTAGTATAACTAAAATCTACATTGTCAACAGATCGATTAATAATGTCTGGATAAACAGCTCTTTCCTCACCTTCTCCTCCTCCTCAGTTCGTGGCCCAGCCCAACTGTCAGCAGCTCCTGGCCACTCTGTGGTACGATGGTTTCCCTGGTTGGAGGAGACGACACTGGGCGGTGAAACTGGTCACGTGCTTCATCATCGGACTCCTCTTTCCTGTCTTCTCTCTGGTGGGCGGAGCTTAAACTTAATGTCGTGCCCTCACCTTTTTCACTACCTTGTTTACTGGTGTGTTCTAAACTCTGGCCCAGGGGCCCGATCATGGCACCTACATGGGCCACGACATCTTTGGTTCAACTTCAACAAAACACTTTTTTCACTTTATCTTTTTGTCATCTCTTTGGTTATTGGTATTTATTTATGGTTTACTCCATAACTGTATTCACAGCTGTATTTCTGCTCTACTCCCCAACACACAGACCTTTTAGTGGGTTTTTACTACATCTTTTATCAGCTGTTCTGTTAATCTTTAGGTTTTTTAAATATATTTTTGAATAATTCTTAGGTTCCTTTTTTCACTAACTAACACCAAGATGTTTGACTATATTTATTAACGTATTCTTTTCTTCTTAGCTAAATTTAGTTTTTCATCTTTCTTTCACCCTTACTACTTTTTTCTTTTATTTACTATATTTTAGGACAAATTCTTTCTTTTTTTATTGATAACCTTTATTTTTTGATCTCTCAGGTCTCAGGTTTATTCTATATTTAGCTTTCATACTACTTTATTGATAACTTTTATTTTTTGATTGTTTTAGTTTTTCTGAAAGGTCTCAAGTTTATTCTATATTTAGCTTTCATACTATAATTTGGTAGTTGGTAACTGATGAAGCGTTGAAGTAGAGGTCATATGAGATGACCTTCACCTGTTCTTTTGGACGAACCTTTAGCTTTCAAATGAGCTTTTTTTTCTGACACATTTCTGATTCTCAGTTGTTTTTATTGAGAGTATTTATGATGAAGCTGAAGGTATTTGTCATGCCCCCCCCCCAGATCTACCTGCTGGCTCCAAAGAGCGCTCTGGGCTGTTTCATCAAGAAGCCCTTCATCAAGTTCATCTGCCACACGGCCTCGTACCTCACCTTCCTTTTCCTGCTGCTCTTGGCCTCGCAGCACATCGCCCGCACCAACCTGCACATGCAGGGGCCCCCGCCCACCATCGTGGAGTGGATGATCCTGCCTTGGGTCCTGGGTATGAACTTCCTGTTAAAGGACAGCAGTGAATGGAGTTGGAGCCACATTTAACTCCACACTGTGGGTCACAGTGCAGCTCATGTCTGCTCTGTGATATGGGTTTGATCCTGTGGGTCACATCTGAGCTGTGGTCTGGGTCACATCTGAGCTGCTCTGTGAGTCACATCCTCTGTGCCAGACTGTGAGTCACAACCAAACTACACGGTGGTTCACCTCGTACCCAGACTGCAGGTCACGACCTACAGTAGTAGAACTTTGATGGAAACCACAGATTGACTTTTTATTGTCTTATATTAAGTACAGTTTCAGATTACGTCACAATTCTGACCTGCTGGAAAAAGAAAACAGTCAGAAAAAGAGGTTTTTCATTTTTATGCAATGACACAGAATTTTGGGAAAAAAGCCCAAACTCTGTCTCATGTCATGAGAACATTTGATGAAGAGTCACCTTTGATGATGAAGACATCAAGGTGGGAGAGCAGCTGTGGCCCCTCGCACCATATGTTTAGAACAACATGTGAATTTAATGATAAATATTTCAGGTAGTTGACTGTCTGTGACTGTCCCTGACTGTCCGTGACTGTCCGTGACTGTCTGTGACTGTCTGTGACTGTCTGTGACTGTCTGTGACTGTCTGTGACTGTTTGTGGTCTGTGACTGTCCGTCACTGTCTGTGACTGTCCGTGACTGTCTGTGACTGTCTGTGACTGTCTGTGACTGTCTGTGACTGTCTGTGACTGTTTGTGACTGTGACTGTCCGTGACTGTCTGTAACTGTGACTGTCCCTTTGCTCTCAACAGGTCCACAAAGAGTGGGGCAGAGAAGCAGGTGAAGGAGAAACTGTGTGGTTCTGTGTGTGTGTGTTAGGCTTCATCTGGGCAGAGATTAAGGAGATGTGGGACGGAGGCTTCACAGAGTACATCCACGACTGGTGGAACCTGATGGACTTTGCCATGAACTCCCTCTACCTGGCCACCATCTCTCTGAAGATCGTGGCCTATGTGAAGGTCTGAGCTTCTGCTACTGTCGAACTTGTTCTGACTGTTTGTTTGTACGTGGGGGGGGGACCCAACCAATCAGATTCAAGTCCTGTGCTGATGGTGTTTGTATAAGTTTGAACAGTGCAGCTGTCAGGTTTAATTCTGCTGCAGGTACACAACCATTTATCTCTTGATTAAGACACACACACACACACACACACAGACACACCAGACGGCAGACACACACACAACAGCTGTGAGTCACTGACTATGGCGACTGCTCCTCCTACGCAGGTCCTACACACACACACACACACACACACACACACACACACACTCCCACAGAAGCGCAGGTTTACCCTCAGGATTCTACCTTTACTTTGATTAATAAACACAGTACACCAGAGTCCATCGAAGAAATCTGTGATTTTACCCCGCCAGGCTATAGGAGCTATTGGTGCAGCGCTGCCTCCTGTGGTCAGTGTGAACTGAGAATTATCAGCAGATAGACTCCTCCTCTGTCCCTTTGAACTCAAACCACTGATTTTCTCAGTGGACTTTGGTCTTTCTTGTTTTCATTTCTGCCTCCAAACAGTCAAAATCTTCCTCCATGTAATAATAGTCTTTTCCATGCACTTCATTTCCCATGTGCCCCTCTGTCACCTCCAGTATAACTCCTCTCGGCCCAGGGAAGAGTGGGAGATGTGGCATCCAACGCTGATCGCTGAGGCGCTGTTCGCCATCGCTAACATCTTCAGCTCGCTCCGACTCATCTCACTCTTCACAGCCAATTCTCACCTGGGCCCCCTGCAGATCTCTCTGGGCAGGATGCTGCTGGACATCCTGAAGTTCCTCTTCATCTACTGCCTGGTCAGCACCTTTTCATAGTAACTGTGTTATTCTCTGGCTTTGTACTCTCACTGACGGTGGCTTTTCTTCAGCTCTTCTTCACTTTTGATTTTTAATTTTCCCTAGCTCTACTTTTAGCTCTCTCCTTACCTTTGCTTGTCCCTTTAACTTTCCCTTTTGCTCACCCTTCACTTTTTTTTCTTAGGCTGCGCCATTTAACTTAATCTTAAATTCACCTTTTAGTTTTTTCTTCACTCCCTCTGAATCCGTTCCTTCAGCACTTTCTTAATATTTTACTCTAGCTGTAGGTTTTTCTTTTAACCCTCTGTTTACTTTTCCACTACATCTTCTCACTTCCTTTTCTTACTTCACCTCTTTTAATTTTTTTTTTTTTTTGTTATCTGTACCTCTGCATAACTTTCTGTAGTTTATCTTCCATTTCAGTAGTCCTTATTCCAGTACTAACAGAATGCTGGTTGTGTTGTCTAGGTCCTGCTGGCCTTTGCCAACGGTCTAAACCAGCTGTACTTCTACTACGAGACCACGGCCTCAGAGGAACCATACAACTGTAAAGGAATCCGCTGTGAGCGTCAGAACAACGCCTTCTCCACGTGAGTGACACCAGGATCTCCTGACCAATCATCCGTCAACTACATGTTTTTCTTTACGGACTTTGGTGCAGGAGCTGGAGACCGTCGCACCTTCAGCCGCGCTCCATTTCCACAGCAGCATGTTAACAGATACGTAGATGATAAACTGCTGCCATTAAGATCAGTGATTACATAAATGAATCACTTCAAATTATTACAATTTTTTTTTCCCCTCAACCATGTGATTTTCTTTACTTGTGGTTTGATGAAGAAACTTCAAACACACAGTGTTTACACTCTGTCACATCTGTGTTTAAGTTAAATATTAATATAATATTAAATATAAATATATTAAAAACCCTGGGGCCAGACATGGTGATCACACACACGCGTCCACAGAGCACAGCTGACACGATGCATTATTCAAACACCGTGATCACAGACGATACATGAACATTCATGACTTTAACACACAACCATTTTCTCTCTCTGTGTGTGTGTGTGTGTGTGTGTGTGTGTGCGCATGTTGGTGCTCAGGTGTCTCCTCCTCCCTCCTCTTACTTCTCGCTCTTCTCTACATCATGCACTTATCACCGTTAATGTGTTGCATCATTTAACACCATCCTGTATGTGTTTGTGAGTGTGAGAGAAAAAAAAACACTGAATCTTTCACATAGAGAAAAGTGTCTGTCTTAGAACCTCAGGGTCAGAGGAGCTGCTGGTCCACCGCTGCCTCATCACATGGGGTTTGGGGGGGGGGGGGGGGGGTTCTGGATAGTACTGTGTCCTTGTGAGAAAGTCATTGATATTCTTTATGGACTATGGGATGGCAGTGGGAAAAATAAAATAAAATAAAACGAAGAGTGAAGGTGGAAGGAGATGATGAAGCAGTAACAGTTTCAAATGTCATTTTTAACACATTTAATACATGTATTACAATGTACAGCTTTGGTTTTTTGGCTAACCTTCAGTTATTTTATGTGTTTGGCTAACCATTAGCTCTCTCCCCCTCCCCGACTCTCAGGTTGTTTGAGACGCTGCAGTCTCTCTTCTGGTCCATATTCGGCCTGATGAACCTGTACGTCACTAACGTCAAGGCTCGTCACGAGTTTACAGAGTTTGTGGGAGCCACCATGTTTGGGACGTATAACGTGATCTCCCTCGTGGTTCTGCTCAACATGCTCATCGCCATGATGAACAACTCCTACCAGCTCATCGCCGTAAGACTCACTCAAAATATGCTAACATTTAGCTGTATCGCTTCAACACAATTCGTAGGCTGATGTTTCTTAATTATTTGCTACAGTCTCTGTGATCTGATGTTGAGTTCACCAGCTAGCTTTTTGCTGCTTATCTCTGAACTGACTCGCAGTGATCTTTCATGATCATCTTGTAGACCATGTGGTTTTTGTATGACAGCACCTTTCCTTGTCTGACATGAAGAAAAAAAACAAACCTGTCCATGCTAACTAAATAGCTTAGCTACTTTTGGTTTAGCTTTTTTTGTTTTCTTTTATTTGCTGTATGATCTACCACCTCAAAAAAAGCCAATGCAGTTGTGTAAACTGTGGAAGCCCAGCTGGACATTCATGCTCAGGGATGGCCAAGAGAACTTTTCAGAAAGGGCCATTTCAGATATTTTCAGGATGGATTGAACAGCGTTCCTCTCACCTCCAGGATCACGCCGACATCGAGTGGAAGTTCGCTCGCACCAAGCTGTGGATGAGCTACTTTGACGAGGGTGGAACTCTGCCCACTCCCTTCAACATCATTCCCAGTCCCAAATCAGTCTGGTACCTGATGACATGGCTGCACAGGAAGCTGTGTAGGCGGGGCCTTCCACCGGGGGAGGAGCCACACAAATGTGAAAATCTGCGGGAGTTCACGGTGAGTAGCAGACTTGTGTGTGTCTGCAGTTTTTCTGAAGAGTGAGTGTCTGGCCTGACTACTGTTCACAGCAGGGGGCGCTGCAGCATCAGGCTGTGATGTTTAACAGGGTGTTTGCAACACATGGAAAACACACGACAGAAACAGAGAGAGTTGAGAAATTGTCATGAAAGACACCAAAAAAAAGATCAGCTGTCTGAGGACACACACACACACACACTAATACACACGGCACAGCTGCCATGTTCACCTCAGCTAGAGTTAGTTATATAAGACAGGCAGCCTACATACAGGTTCACACGGCACTGCACACTGTGTGAGTCTGTGTGTGAGTCTGTGTGTGTGTGTGTGAGTGTGTGTGTGTGTGTGTTTCATCCATCACTCTGTTTTTCTGATCTGATCTGGATTATGTACAAAAAAGTTATTTACTGCTGTAAAGTAAATAAAACAATAAACAGTCAAACAGTAGGTGGTGCTATACGTAAAGTTTGGAACTTTGTCATTGGATGTAAAATTATTTACAGTCCAAAACTAATGATCATCTGTAAACACAGCCCAAACAGAAACTAAAAAAACAACAGACTTTCTGTCAAATAAAGAAAAATAATCAAAGTCAGACGTGAGTCAAAGCAGTAGTAAAAGGGTTAGTACTTCACTGACTGAAATTTAGCCAAAATGTCGTTGTAAGTCACACAAATCGTATTAAACAAAATTATAGGTTAGTGTTTTAGTTTTCGTCACCGACTGATCTAAAGATTTTCATAATCTAAAAGAAAAAAAAATGATGTGACTAAGAGTTCTGACTTTTTTTTCTCTCTTCACAGGAACGTCACGCAAAAGGTTTTTCTCTCTTCACAGGAACGTCACGCAGACAGTCTGATCCAGAACCAGCATTATCAGGTCTGTGTGTCCTACAGCCTTATGTCAACACAGGACACGTCAGACTTCTTTTAGGACTTGTTGGTTGTTGAATTGCTAGCTCGGGTTTAGGGCTGGTTAGCTTCAATGACTTGGTGTGATTTCAGGATTTATTGTCGCGGTTCAATGACTTGTTAGATTAGTGTGAGGACTTGTTAGATTAGTGTGAGGACTTGTTAGATTAGTGTGAGGACTTGTTAGATTAGTGTGAGGACTTGTGAGGACTTGTAGATTAGTGTGAGGACTTGTTAGATTAGTGTGAGGACTTGTTAGCTTGAAGTGAAAGTGTCACAATTGCCCAACCTGGATTCAAACCCAGGACTCCTGCATCAGTGATGCCTCTGAGCTAAAGCTCCGTTTCTCTCACTTGTAAATCAATCCACAGTTATTTCATTTAAAAAAAGAAAATCCAAAAAGTGGAACAGTTTTCCCCAAAGCCACGTTTCTGTTTCTGCTTTCTCATTCACTCACCTGGTTCTTTCAAAATCTTTTTATGACCTAGCAGTAAATTAAGCGAAGCCTCTGTTCCCTCTTCAGCTCTGGCGTTGAGCACAGGCTCAGCCTTTTCTTTGGCAGCGCTGATGGTTCAGCTCTGATCTTCAACCTTGTATTTATGAAGAGTTGTTGCTGTGATTTGTCCGTCATTTTAACGGACAGAGCAGTGGCGCGTTGGCAGCGTCAGTGACTGACAGCAGCGTTTGGCAGTGGCAGGTGTGGAATCGTGGGAGGAGACGTGTTTGAATTAATGCCCACAGTTAAAAAAAAAAAAAAAAACTGCTGCTGATTTTATTTATCTGCTCTGTAGATCGGCAAGGATCTACACCTGATTGGTCCATTCTGTGATGACACATGATATCATTAAAATTCATCTGCGGAGTCAGTCATCACACCAACAAATGTGTCAAAATGATGTTTTTTTAATCTCTCCTTCATGTTTCCTTCAAGTCCAACAATTTTTTTAAAATAATAACAAAGACAGAAAATCTGGCCTCAAACAGAGACAGTGATGAAAACTAATTTTAGCCACTGACCAGAACTATCGCTCCAAAGTCTTTGGTCAGAAACCATGATTTTAGCTTGCAGACAAAGGAGTTGCTCATCCACTGCTGCCCCCTGTGGTCAGTTTGTGTCTCTGAGGTCAATTCTTTAAACAGTTGTTTGAGGCAGCAGTGGATCAACAGCTTTTATGAATGGACTTCGTGGTTTTTTTATTTGGACAAACATTACTTTTATTTGGACAAATGAAGAAGAGTTTCTCACGATTATGTCCTACGACTCTCTCTGACAGGAAGTGATCTGTAACCTGGTGAAACGTTACGTAGCAGGCATGATACGCAGTGCAAAGACAGACGAGGGGCTGACGGAAGAAAACTTCAAGGTAAAATACACACACGTGTAAGGTTTCCAACATGGACTCTCACTAACAGAGAACTGTGATTTTTACCCATAAAAAAGAAGTTTTAGAAAAAGAAGAAATATCATCAATGTGTGTGTGTGTGTGTGTGTGTGTGTAGCATCAGGTGCAGTTTGCTATAACTGGGTGTGTTTTATTGAAGCATGCTCTCCAGCAGCTGAGTTCATGTCCCACAGGTATATATGGCAGGATGTTGTCTGTTAGCTTGCATTAGCTTAGCTTAGGTTAGCTCAGTGTCAGCAGACAAACTCCAAATTTGAATGTTTCCCTGTTTCTGTCTAAGGAGTTGAAGCAGGATATCTCCAGTTTCCGGTATGAGGTCCTGGATCTTCTGGGAAACCGCCGTCCTCCACGGCGTAACTACTCATCCTCCAGTGAGAACACCAGAGACGACGGCGCCGCGGCCTCAGAGGACGACAGCGAATCAGGTGAATGTGCAGGAGTCGGTGGACAGAGGTCAAAGGGTGTAACCTTTATGACCCCGCTAGAGGATGAGTCCAAGCCGGCACCAACGCTCGGTGTCTGCGCTCTGGTGCAGTCCATTTCAGGAATGACCCGAAACAACGAAGGAGAAGAGCTGGAGGAGGGAGTGGGATGGAGGGAGGAGGAGGACGAGGAAGAGGAGGGGAAACCAAAGAGCAACGGCCTGAAGACCAGTGTCCTCCCTCCATCCTCCTCCATCTTCCCCTCACCATCTTCCTCGCTCTCCTCTTCCCTCTCCTCCTCGCTCGCTCGCACCAGGAATCGTCTGCAGCGTTTCTCAGCTCCAGGTGCAAAGACAGACTCCTTCAAACGCCTCTCCTACCTGTTCTCCCGCTCCAAACGCAAAGCTCCACCCACTCCCTTGGCCCTTCAGTCCCCACCCTCCTACACTATCTCAGACGGATTACTCCGCCCCCTGGGCGGCCACAGCCACTCTGACTATGGACTCAGCCATGTGACCCGCAGCGAGACGCACTTGAACGTGGTGGGGCGCTCCGTCGACATCAGCAGCCCCTCCTTCTCTCCGCGGAGAACCAACGGGCGGGACCTGCTCCTGACCTTGCCCCTACCGCCGCCCTGCCCCTGCCAATCACTGCACTGTGCTTCCAACATGTCCGAGTCCAGCGCACGCCTCCTGGACTCCAACGAGGACGTTTTCCAAGACGGAGGCGTGGGAGAGGAGGGCCGGGGTGAGGTGGAAGGGAGAGGAGGAGGAGGAGGAGGTGGGATAGGAAGCTCAGATCATAGAGGACTCGGTCACCACGCAGCTATAGGAGATTGGGGGAAACAAACTGTGTTTTTCTTTTTTTTTTCTTTGGACAAATTCATCAAAAGGGAATGAGCAGGAGAGAGAGGACGGAGAGGATCCCAGAATTCAACAGTGGAATTCTCCAACCACACAATTTATTTTTTTGTCCAAATGCAGATGTTCATGGAGACGTATTGTCTGCTATTGGCTCGTTTTTTGTTTTTTTTTTGCTGTTTGAGTGAAGCTTCACTTTATATAAACCAGCTAAGCTTCACGTAACAAGGCAGTAAACAAGACTTAGACCAGTTAGCGAAACAGCTACAGGACTAGCAAAAGCCATAACATCTGACCCACAGACCTAAACAAAGTCAAACAAACTCATAATTGTCAGCTGTAGAGCTAACATTGTAGCCACAATAGTAGCAATCAGTGTTTTTGTTTAGAAATTAGCTTTAAATGCCTCAGTCAAGTAAGCTAGCTTCTACAGAGCCATCAAACACCATAACATGTGACACGCACAAAGAAAACACAGCAGTAGCCTACTTGGACAGTTAATACAACATTAGGCTAACAAAATAGCATCCTCTTAAATTAACATTGTCATTGTACCAAAGTGCAAAATAGTATAAATGTTGATGGGGTTTGAGCTAGCATGATAGTTAGTGTGGGGAACATGTTATTTTTTCATACTAATGATATGTTAGCTCAGTAGCTACATGGCTTCGTTATGTTTTTCAATACGTGATAACGCCCCCTCAAAATTTGCTTGTGTTTAAACTAACATGCTAGCTTAAGAGCTAATTTGGTGGTTAGCAGAGCAACCCCACAGCCTGCTAGCATCATAGTAATACTGTTTATTTGATTCCGGAAAAAAAATCTCAGTTTAGGGCCATTTTTAAACTGCTCAGGATTTTTTAAAATTTGATGAAGGTCAAAAACAGTCTTCATGAACGTCTGCTGTATTTAAGTGATTATTTGATTTTCTGTTTCTTTAGGAAACATAACCAGAGAGTAAACTGACTCCCAGACTGGATCCAAAACAAAAGTGTCAGAAGATCTAAATCCTTATTGGTCATGTGCATGTAACTGTAATGGGTGGTGTAGGTGAGAGGAGTGACACCCTGGAAACAATATGTTAAGAACCTTCTTTTAATATTCTTTACATCTGTCCTTCATCCAGGCTTTTCTTTTTACTTATTTTAATGTATATATAATTGATCTGGACTTGGTATAACCTGGAATAACCTGGTCCAGATTATCACAGGTCCACTGGGCAGGTCAGACCGTCACATCCAGACTCTCTTCTAGAATGTTTCCTAAAGCTGTTGACACTTTTGTTTTGGATCTCAATCAGCATCAGTTCAATTTTCAGATGTAGAATAAATACCATAAGGTTTTGTAATTTAACACTAACTGGGAACAAAAATCGTGGAATCTACGCCCAAACCGCTGGATTTAATACCCACCCGCACTTTGACAGGATTCTCCAGGACATCAGGAAGTGGAATACTGTCGCATTTGACTCTGGAATTTCACCAGTATAACCCTGGGAGTGAATGGAAGATGGCAGGTGGCGGACGTGCATCCTCTCTCTCTGTATCAACAAGGGCCAAGGAACATTATTTTATCTCCGTAACAGAGTAATAATATTCATAATAATAATAATTCTAAGAGACCTTGAGTTCTGATAATAATAATAATCTTATTAATACTGTTTTTCCTAAGACTGCGTTTGCTTCACTTTGAGTTGCCTACAATTGTTTTGGCTTCTCGTTCTCGTTCTTCCTGAAGAAATTCTTTAATGACAAATCAGAACCAGGAGGACATGAAAGGAAGGAAGGAAGGACAGATGGACAAATTTCACAAAGAAAGGACAGAAGGTGAGGTGAGGACTGGTCATAGTTAGCCTTTCTCTGTCTCAGAATGTGTTTAATTTCCTCCTGTATTTTCTGCTCTTTGTTTTTAGTTTCTTCATCTTCTTCTTCTGAAGTGGTTTCAGCGACTTTAGGAAATCCACGCATGAGCAGAGGCTGTGATTTTTTTTTTTATTCTGGTTAATATATGACCGTCAGTGATGGAGAAGAGAAACATTTATGCATGTCTGATCCCACACACACACACACACACACACTGACTGCATTGTTCAGGTTGGCCTCACATGTTTTTAATAGACTTTGAGCTTTAAGAAATCTACAAATTTTCTTTTCTTCCTTCTAGTTTTCTTTTCTTCAGGTTCCCTTATGAATGAATGTACGACTGTGTTATTTTTCTAGCAGCTAGCGCACGTTGTCCACTCTTTAATAAAGGCATCCTTAAAAAATGCCTGCTGCCACTGTCTTCTTTGAGCTGCTCTCTTCATGTCATGATCATGATCGTTCAAAATAATAATGAAAAAAAAAGACGCAAATGACGCAAAAACAAAAATCAGAAAGAGTTACAGGCTGCAGATATCCGTCCACCATCCAAATGATGTTTTATGTGAACATTTCAAATGAAAACATGTTTTGTTTTGAGCACAATTATTACATTGACCTCTGTGACCCCTGCTTTCTGTTGTGCTTTTAGTGACATACAGTAAGGTGGTGTGGGCTGTGCCTGGTCGCTTCATGTTTACTGGGACAGAAGCTGTTTTGTTCATGGACAGTGTGTTGTGAAGAGCAGCCGCTTTTCACTGTTTTATCATCATGTGACTGGAGGAGCAGACGTGGACTAGAAAGAAAAAAAAGAATAAGAGTTTATTTTTTTCAACAAAGCCCTCGCTTGCCTGCTGTGTGGGCCGCAGCGCTGAATAGAAACCAGCTTTCATCTCCTTTTCTTTCTCTCCATCATCCTCTCCACCAACTCAGTGTCAACTTCTGCTATGAGATATGAGACACACACTCAACTGTGTATGTGTGTGTGTGTGTGTGTGTGTGCTCTGAGTATTTTTACTCATGTTGTACAGACCAGCACCTGAGAACACACAGGACTTTTGTTACATCCAAGGCAACCAAAAGAGTATTACTAACTGTCCACAGGGAAAACAGGTGATTAGCTCATGATGACATAGGAACGGCTGGCCTGCCGCTGCCTCCTGTGGTAAGTTTGTGTCACTGGGGTATATATGAACAAATGATTTCAAACAGTAAAGTCAAGAAAATAAAACATTAGAACTTAATGATGTAGACGGCAGTGTGTCTCTGTGAGCGAAAACAACTGGTTTTCTACATGAACTATGGCGCACTGACTTCAGGAGAATGATCCCGGATTGATGTGTATGTTCACAGAAAGATGGAAGAAAGAAAGAGTTACAAAATTTCGAAGGCTTATGGTGCTGTAATTGTGTAAACACCTCCCTCTGCTGGACAAAACTGAACTTTACAACAGCTTTTACGGGAGATAGCTTCTCCAACATAAAATTGTTTGTGAAAGGTTTTTTTTAATCATTTTTCTTTTATTTAAGTGTTTTTTGCTCGTTTTAGTGTTTTTTAAATAAGTTAATTCTTGCTAAAGGTGTGTAACCCCCAGCCTGATAACTGACCTACATTAGGTAGTCTATCGGACATAACGTATTTTCTTTCTTTTTTCTTTTAATAATTTGAATTTGACTGCCCTTGACTAAGATATTTGCAATAATTCTGTTTAACTCTTAGCAAGCTAAGTCAATAAATACAGATAAATTTACTTAGCAAATAGTTACAAGTTTGGGGAAATTTGCTGCCCTTGGTTTTTATTTATTTATTTATTTATTTATTTTCATTGACCTTCGAATTCATCCGATGAAATTGTTTTAATCTAATTTCTCACGGTAATTAAAATAAGAAAAAAAAAATTTAATCTAATTTCTCACGGTAATTAAACTAAGAAAACAGTCGCAGTGACGCGTCATCTGATTGGTCTAGCTGATGCCACTTCTTGCGCTCTGGTTGGTTCAGTGAGTCTACGTAAAGCGGAAGTTGATTCACGCAGCAGCAGCAGCAGCAGTAGTAACTGTGAGACGATGTTTAACAGACGCAGGCCGTGAAATGAAAGAAAGCATTGGGTTTTGCAGGGTTTTAACAGCGCAGGAATAAATCAAAACCACAAGAGTTAAAGAAAAATATGGTTTTATTTCTATACGCGGCGGTTTTTGCCTTTATTTCCTCAGTTACAGCAGCAGGAGGCGGCGACGATGACTGGGTTCATCTGCCTAACAAATGCGAAGGTAACGATCCGTTTGTTTATACACGGTCGGGAGGATAAATATTCAGCCCACTTGTTATTATTTTTCGTTTTGTTGCGTACTGTAGTTCCGTGAATTTGCAACTAACCAACCATTGGAAATGTCTTCATTAAAGCATCCGAACAATAATGTCTGCATTTAATATTTAACTGTTGTTTGTGACTTTTGTCAGTCTGTAAGTTTGTTAGCATCGAGATGAAGTCAGCGTTTGAAGAGACGGGGAAAACCAAAGAGGTGATCGACAGGAACTATCATTTCATTGACAGCAAGGGGGCGCCACCCCTCAGATATGTCAAATCGTAAGTGTGTGTCAGTTTGTGTATTAAAGATGTGTAGTTAAATTGTGTGGCGATTTGACAGAGATCATCAGAAGCAAATGTTCACTGTGAGTGAGTTGAAATTATCAATTAATCAATATATATATACTGTATATATATATATATATATATATATCATCAGGAGACAGGAAGTTGTTTGGCTTCACTTCCTCTTGAGGTACTTATTTTGGAACAGAGAAACTGTTCAACAGTGTCTCACATAACAATGACTAGTCTCGCCTCCACCTGGATACACTGATTTAACTGAGCAGTCGGTACAAGTTCAGTCAAAATCCAGAAGTTTATTGTCTGTCGTCTGCTGTCTGTCGTCTGTCCACAGGGACCTGAGGTTCATCGAGGTGGTGGAGAACGTTTGTCAGAGGCTGCTGGAATACAACCTGCACAAGGAGAGGACCGGCAGCAACCGGTTTGCTAAGGTGTGTGTGTGTGTGTGTGTTTATATACACACATACATGTGTCTGTGTATGTGTGTGTGAAAAAGGCTTCTCCTCTGGTCTTCAGGGCATGTCGGAGACCTTCTCCACCCTCCATGGTTTGGTGAACAAAGGTGTGAACGTGGTGATGGACATTCCCTATGAGCTTTGGAACGAGACGTCAGCCGAGGTGGCAGATCTGAAGAAACAGGTGATTTGATTTATTAGTTATTGATTAATTTTATCTTTGATGTTTGTTCAGCATTTGTTAATGGAGCCTTTTCTGTGTGCGTGTCTGTCAGTGTGATACATTAGTGGAACAGTATGAGGAAGTGATCGAGGACTGGTACAAAGGAAGTCAAGAAGAAGACCTGACCACATATCTGTGTGAGAAACATGTTCTCAAAGGACAAGATGCAGGTAACACACACACACACAAATACCCTTTTATTGAAACTCTTCTTATGGAACTTAGCTTTTTAGCAGCTTTTTATTACGGAGTAACAGAAGTGGAAATTCCGAAATCAAAACTGTTTAAACTTAAATGCATTTCATTATTTATGGTATTTTTGGATATAGTAACAAAACAAAGCTGTTGTGTTAAAATCCATTTGTTGTCAGTGTGAACCAACTGGCGCAGATGCTTTTATTTTGAAGTCTGTATTTAGAGCTGAGAAAAAAATCAATTTATATAAGGGTAATTTAATTTAGTTATTTTTTACTGTGGGTTTTTACTTTGAAATCTGCATGGTTTGAATGCGCATGAACATCTTCTACAGACTGTCTGAAAGAAGATTGGTCAAGAAAGAAAAAAGGCGACCATGCTGCTATTGCAGAGGACAAGAAGAAGAAGAAGAAAAAGGGTGGAAAGAAAAAGAAGACTGGAGGAGATGAAGGAGGCTCTGAGGACGAGAAGGTGGCCAAGAAGAAGAAGGAGAAGAAGGTGAAGAAGAAGAAAAAGAGCAAAGCGTCTGTGGAGACAGATGGAGAGGTACGCTCTGAGGATGATATCCAACCGCAGGTTCCTTTGTCTGAGCAGAAGGTGGAGCTCTAAGCTTTCATCTGTGGCTGCTATGAACCCAAGCTCCTGGATCAGATCATCTGAACTTTATCTCCTGGATTAGATCATCTAAGCATGAGATGTTGAATCACATCAGAACCTGAGCTCTCGGATCAGATGCACTGAGCCCATGTTTTTGAATTTGTGAATTTGATGTCTCTTGAGCTTCTCGAGAAGATAATCTAAAATTACCTCCTGGATTAGGCTTTTGCAACAAAGAGTTTTTGGATTAGGTGACTTGATTGTGAATTATAGCAACATTTGTTACATGATTCATACTTTTTATATATATTTTTTGGTCAAACATTTTAAACAGGTTTTTCAGAGAGATTTGAAGACATATGTCCTCACTTCTACAGATTTGGATAAAAAAAAAACTTAAATATAAATAACATTTGTTTTGGCAGAGCAAAAAACAATGTTTTCTGTATTAATTCAACTAGAAATCAAGATTTTATCAACCTAGTTTTCTCCCCTTTTTTGTTTGGGGTTTTCTTGAATAATATTTTACCGGTCATGAACCGGTAACTCTTACAGTAATTCTGTTATAAGTCCTCTTTGTTTTTCAATCTGTGTTTATGGATTTTTTTATATTGCCAGCAGAAACATTCTCAGTGTTTTCAGTTAGGCAGAAAAGACACGTCAGGTACACCAGAGTTAAATAAATTATTTTGTGTTAGCTGTAAACTCCCTGCTAGAAACAGTGTATGTTTATGTCCGTCTGCGTATGCTAGTATTTGGCTTTTGTGCTGAAAATACATTTTTTGTGAATCTTTGTTTGCTCTGATTTTATTTGTATATTGTATTGTTTTTCCCCACAGTGTTTTTTAATTATGTTTTAGGTTAAAATGCTGGACAGCAGTTGTGAATTAAATGAAAACATATTTTGAATCAAACAACTGATTTTATGTTTGAGTTAAGTTTTTTTTTAAAAAGTGTATGAATATCCTTTGAGTAATGTATTTACTTACACCCTGCGTGTACTATATACATATGACCACCAGAGGGACCCAGAAGTCTTTCTAGTTTATATGTATATATATATATATATACTGTAAATGTTGATTTGTAAATCACGTTAACAACAGTCATTTGAAATAGCATTTTAAACTGAATGTCCTGTTTGTGTATACGTTCCACTATGTAGCTTGATTGTTCATCCTCCTCTCATAAGTCACTTTGGACAAATGCCTCTGCTAAATGCTGAAATGTAAAATGTTGTACTTTTAAAACGGTTTAATTTTTAAAATGTATTGTTTTTTAATAATGAAACCAGTACAAAATAAATTATTAAAAGCTAACGAGTTCTTCATCCTGAAGTAACCGTTGGAGTAGGCGTGGTTAACGTTAATCAGAGGCGGGGCTGTAATCGCGAACCTGTGAGCAATTCCAATTAACCAGGATTCCAGCGCTAAACGGTGTGGTTGTTAGTTAGCCGAGTAAAACGTTGTACAACATAAAAGTTCTTTTGTTACGAAATATAGTCCGACGAATATGTCTGGAGTCGAATATTACAAAAAAGTTGATCCCGCTATTTGTATTTATTTTATTTGTTTTACTTTTAATATTGCCGCGATGACGCAGTTTTTCTTCGGAACGTCTTTTACCATTGGAACCTAATAATGACGTCCTTATCGACTCAGGTAAGATGGGTTAGCAGCTGTCGTTATCACTCTAAAAATTTGAAGTTCAATATGACATTGCATTCAAATCTTAGGTGTGTATTTATTTTCCATAGTAAAAGTTGGCTCGCTGCGGCAGCCATTTTGGAAAATAGTTAATCCATCAAACACAAATTAGAGCTTTTCTTAAATTTCTCTAAAAAAAACTTTTCAAACGTTGAATTGTTAACTCACAACAAAGGACCTTTCTATTTTCTAATGATTCGTGTGTAAATGAGAATTCCTGTCCTCAATAGTTGACATAGTAATGGAAAGAAATAAACAATGTGTATTGACACTCGTGTTAAGTTTCGTGACTACAATTAATGGACCAACTGTTTTTGTGAGTTTGTGATGAATTGCCGGATTGAATCAGCCACTAAAATAAATTTTAGTATAAACTTGGGCTAAAGTTAATGATAATGATAATTGCTTGCTTTGATCTGTATTTTATTAGAGGGAATAATTCAGAGACACATTAGCAAATATCAACTGTTATGGTTTGCTACTTAGTTTCCTTTTGGTGTTTAATTTGATTGTGTTTCGGCAAAGCTGTCCTTGTAAGAGCTTGCTTTTCACGTAGTGTCCTATTCAGTCTGTAGATGGCGCCGTCTGCTGTAGAGTGTCCGCAGTGTTTATTCAACCTTGGTCTGGACTGACCAACAGACAAATCCACTTAAAGCTGAGACAAAATATGACCCCATGTGTGTGTTTGAACGGGAAATCCCCACCCATCTAGAACTCTTTTTGAAATGTTGATTTTTTTTTTTTTTTTTTTTGAGAAAAAAATTGTGTTGATCAGTAAAAGTCGGGATTAAAGTCAAGAATGTGTGATGGTTGAGATCACATTAGCATTGTCATTAGCAGGCCAAGTGTATAATATATATTATAATATAATTAGTAGAATTAGAGTCAATTGCATAATTTATTTAAAGCTCTATTGACTTGACATTGAATTATAATAATTCCACATGTGTTTTTTTAATGTCACAATATCTATTTGAAACATGTCATTAGTTGATGTGTGTGTGTGTGTTTGTTCAGTGTTTCACAGATGTGTTTATACAAAAGTGTGCCCTCAGAGCTGTAATAACACTAGACAAATATTGACACACACACACAGCCTTTTCTTGGGAGAGTGATTATTTATTTGGACGGAGGACAAATGGAATGTGCACAGGCAATATTTTCACATTATCTCACCTGAAGTCCATTCTGTAGGAATCTGTAGTTTTGTAGACAATAGAAGAAATGTTTACTAAACATAGAAATGTGTTACAAAATAATGCAAAGACAGCTGTAGGTGTTGCTGGTCTTTGGCAGAGGGAAGGACCTTTACTTATATGTTTAAAGAAACATCTAAAGAAAATTTAACTCGGCTAAATGTCAGCTCGTCACGCTCTCCTGACTTTTCCCAAAGGACAACAAACACAGCAGGGAGGCAGAACAAGTGAAGCTAATGCTAATGCTGCTGCCTGTTGATGACAACCTGTTTGATTTTTTTTTTTTATGCTACCTTGAAAGAGGAGACGCTCATGGAACTAAAACAATGAGTGTTCACATGAGACATGCTATAAGAAACTGCTAATGCTTACCTTTAGTTCTTCTTATGTTTTATAGTAGGTATTTACAGGTTTGATGCCACCACAGTTACCAGTGCTGCTGGTGTTGTTTGTGTTTAACATGTTCCTTCGAATGCTGCTGATGCTGCTGCTCACATTAAGTGTTGAAGCCCATGCTGCTGATATATATGAAGCTAGTCTTTGGAGCTGTCAAAGTTGCTGCCTCTGCTCATGTTATGGTTGTTGATAATGTTGCTAATACTGCTGCAGGCCTGCTGCTTGTTGTTCCTCCTGGTGCTGCTTTTTACCCTAATTCCCGGTCTATAAGCCGCTTCTTTTTTCACAAGCTTTGAATCCTGTGGCCTAAACAATGATGCGGCTAATTTATGGATTTTTACTGGCTAACGCAGTTCTTTTCTGGTAGGCTACTGTGTGTTGTACTAGTAGCGTATGTCTGTCTGTGAATGGCTGTGTGCGTATATGTGTGTGGGGTGCGAGAGAGATAGAACGGTAGTGAAAGTTGAGAACAGTTTGAGCCCCGTCATGTTGAAGCGTGAGATGGTTATACAGGAGCTGTTAAAACGCTGTTTATGTTCTGTTGTGCTTGGCTGATAATAAGGCCCCCAACTTCCCTGTTTCTGTTTACCTCTGCTGCAAACAAGCACAAAGTGAAGGGAGTTAGCCTCTGAGCTAATGTTAGCTTCGGCCCTGGAGCAGGTCACTAAGTCTTCCCTGTGCATTCCAACTACGGTAGGGGCGCTGAAGCAGGAAACGTGTAACCAGCCGTGTTACAGACACTGTTCGGGAAAAAAGAAGTGAGAAAAAAAAAATCTTTCTGTGTAAATATCCCATGTTACAACCTGGACACCTGCGGCTTATAGAGATGTGTGGCCTATATATATATATATATATATATATGTACAATCTTTATTTATTTATTTATTTATTTATTTAGTGTGTGTGGCTTACATTCAGGTGCGCTCAATAGTCCGGAAATTACGGTACTTCTGCTCTTACTGCTGCTGATGTATTTTGGTCCAGAGCAGTGTGTGTCCCAGTTGTGGTGCAGCAGGTGAAGGGTGTCTCCTGACAAAATGCCTGCTGTGTAGCCTATTTTCCGGGTTTTGACCTTCTCTGAACACAGCGCTGCAGCTCAACGAAGATGAATTGTTGCTGCGAGTTGGTCGTCCCAGAAGAAGAAGCAGGAGTGTTTGTCTGCG